TTTCTGCTAGTCACTGGAGGATTGTTGTGTCCAAGTTCAACCCCCTACTGCTGAACTCAACATGCTTGAGTACTTGAAGACTCGAGAACTCAAACATTTCACTAGCTACAACTGGTGCAAATACTTCTTCAACCACATGAATGAAGGATTGACATCATCAAAACCTTTATGTCAGTGTAGATCTTCACTTCCTTACAGTAAGTTTCCATTCCCTCAACCATTTCCATCTTATTACTCCTATATTTTGTATACAAATGGTAGTCTTTGAAAAACTAATACAACTATCTGCATTGCCAACTACTACAAAAAGGTATGCTTCATTTACAAACTGGATAAAATGGCCTTCTTCACCCAGTTTCGACCCCAACAGTAAGCTATATGATGATCACACTGTGCAAAGGAACTTTGAGAACATCAAAAGCCACTATGATGGAGAAGAGCTGACCCAGCTAGCAAAGCTTGCCAACAATGTTGCTGATGAGGCTGATGATGCAACTGATGAGGATAATAAGAATGAACCAGTCCATCGAACACCAAAAAGACATAGAACCAAAACTCCAGACCAGTCATCATCACTGAACTTTGATTTGAAGAAGATCAAAACAGTCAACCAAGTAAGTACAAATTGTATATATTCCAGTTGTCCAACTCATGCTAATACAATGTAATATAGTGATAATAATTGCCAATAACATGTATTACCACCATGGTAACTAACTATACACCTTACACATATTACCACCATGATATCTTACAAAACTAAAATTCCCTCATGAAGGCTAAGAATGCAATCAAACTGGTTGAAGTGTCAATGAAGGCAATGAGAAAAGCAATCAAAGAGCAGTACAACACCCAACTTGACAAGCTGCTCAAACACAAAGAGAATCTGCAGAAAGAAAGTTCTGATGAATATGCAGAGACCACAAAAGAAGAGAAATCTCACAATGAGTTTATAGAAAGGGACAGTGAGAGTGAAGATGATGAAGAAGAGAACGATGAAGAAAGCAATGCCAATTTGGATAAAACTCTGCAGACAATATTCAAAGAGGCAAAGCTAGACAAGAAGAAAAAGGAAAACAAAGAGGAAATACAGCAAGAAGATGATTCACAACCAACTACAGTGGATCTTGCTGCACCAGCACAGATGCCCAAAGAAAAGAAGCAAGATCATTCTGGTATTGAAGTAGACAATGTAGTCAAAAGTGCATTTCTACGTAGAAGCATTTTGGTGACCTAAAAGCGTAAAATCATAAGTTTTTTAGTTTTAAAGCACAGCTTTTAACTACATTAGTTATAACAACTGTGATTATGCATAGAAGCATTTTGGTGACCTAGTAGTGTAAAAACATAAGTTCTTAGGCTTTAAAGCATGATTTTAACTACATTGGAAATAGATGTATCGCCAAAATCAGTTCCAGAAACTTTGAACCAGGTAACCACCAAAGAAGTTCCAGAAAAACCAGCTGCAAGAGAAGAACCACCAAAATCTACTCTAGAAGGTGTGAATAGGGAAAGCAACCAATAAGGAGTTCCACTGGTGATAGTTGCAACAGAAGCACCAACAATTCTGTTCAAGAAGTTCTGAATCAGGAAAACACCCCAAAAGGAGTTCCAGAAAAGACACATACAAAAGAAACAGCAGCAAAAGGAGATAAAGAAACAGCAACTTTAATGGATCTTAATAAGAAAACACCACAAGAAGAGAAACAAGATGAAGTTGCAAAAAATTATGCAGAAAGAGACAGCGAGAAAACATAGTCAAACGAGGTTATTCGAGAAAAGTTATCGACGATGGAGAACAAAGAACAGACTCTCCAATTGCCAACCAAGGCTACTGAGAAGACTACAGTGACAAGGGAAGATTGTTTCCATCTTTCGATCTCAGCCCTCTCAACCATCAATCACCAACACAACAGTAAAGTTGACTACCACCACGACAACCAATCAACCAGAACAGCCTCGCAAAAGAAGATTCACGCTGAAGAATGGGACTGGACATGAAAAGAAGGCAAGAAGAACAACCTCACCAACACAGTCGCAAAGCACGTAGTCACTAAAGGAATCATATATGGCATGGTCAAATCTGTACACAGACAACCAAGAGAGGCTCAAGGAAGTAGGTGAATGCATAACTGCTTACCTCGAGGACCATATTACACCAACTGCACAACTGCTGCCAGGGATCAGCTCACAATCAGAAAGTGCAACAATTGAAATAAAGGATGGTGTCATGAATGTGGTACCAATTGCAACAATGATAACACCATAAAAAACAACAACTTATGATATGTTCAGCAACATCTGGGAGTACATAAGATGCAAAGACAAGAAAGTTGCCAACAAGTAAGTCATCATCTTAAAACTTCTAAAATATTCTATAGTGAGCCAGAATATCCTATAAGTAGAATATCAAACTTATATGATGTTATAAAATGGAGAAAACCATAAGTCCTTTTGTGATGTAGTTTATTACGATGTGGTAAGCTATGGTTTGATGTTATTAAATGGAGTAAACCATTAGTCATATTGGGTTTTTGGTTTATTACCATATGTGATAATCTATGGTTTGATTTTATAAAATGGAGTAAACCATAAGTCATGTTGTGTTTTGATTTTATTAGCATATGGTATGATGTGGTAAGCCATAGTTTGATATTATAGAATGTAGTAAACCATAAGTCCTGTTGTGATGTGGTTTTGTTTAGCGAAGAGGTATTGTTTAAGAGGAAGGATGGAACATTCTTACTGAGAATGGAGTCATTACAGCCGATTGACACTAACTGTGAAATCACATCTGATGCCATCGACTGGTATAGAGATCGAATGAACAGGGAAGAAGATCTCAACTCTTAGATCCCACCCCTACCTAAGCCATTGAGCCCCAACTCTTAGATCTCAACTCCCTCTACGTGGCCTTCATCCTCACCGTGTGAGTATATACTCACAAAAAGTGAGTTAGCATATTAACTTTTTGGATAAAATAACTAAGATATCACTTAAGTTTGAGAATTTGGGCATATATACCACTTAAGTTTGAATAGAGCGCCGGGTATCATTAAAGTCACCAAAAGGTGCATCCGTCTAGTTTTCCATCCAACATAAACTTTAATTACTTTTTGGTACCCAAAACTTTTTAAAACATCCAAAACTATATGTCAACAAGTATTATCTTATATAAAAATTAGAAAACCTTCTAAATATAGTATTATTAGAATGACTAATGAATGTTTTTCAATAAAATAGATAAATTAGTAAAAATAATAAACGAATATAAGAAAAATAATAAATATACTAGAAGATAATAATACTAATAATAAATATATAAAATCAATATTAGAATATCTTTTTAAATTCCTAATACAATTAGAATCATCACTAAAAATAGTTAAAATAAAATCTAATCGACCATCAATACATCAAGACCAATAAAGATCTATGTAAACTATAAAAACTACAACATTCAGTAATAAATCTAAAAAAGAAAATATGACTATATAAAGATAATTACAATTAATAAATTTAACTAATATGAAACATCTACATAATATTAGATAATTACAAAGAGATTTAATATAGACAATTAAACAAGAGTAACATGATGTAAGAGAACTAAATATAACATCCTCAGATTATTTATATCGAGACAGAATTTATAGGATATATTTTCTTAAGGGAATAATTCAATTATTAGAACACATAATGATAATTGAAAATACTTATAATGATAATTGATTATAAATTTCTTATTAAAAAATTGGTTTGGTGTAAAACAGAGTCTTCAAAATATTATTCCAACTAAACGATAAAAAATTATGTTTTCATAAGTCCAAATGATTTTTTACAATAACAAAAAAGTAGAAGGACCCATTTGAAATTTAAATAATGAAATATTCTAATATTATTCTATCAACTTTAACGAAATGTGCTTGACAGTAAATTTAAATGATATCGCGTGCACATATAATAAAATTTAATGGCACGCGATGCCTTATTCTTACTTAAGTGGTATAAGTCCCAAAATTCTCATAATGGTGTCCGCGGTATGTCACTCTTAATTAGGGATGGCAATTATAGCCGTAACTGTGGGTATCCGACCCTACCCAACCCGGTGAACGAGGGGAATTCTCGCATTGACTTGGTATGGAGCGGGTACGGGTAATTCCCACAAAGAATCTTGTGGGGATGGGGCGGGGATGGATTTGAGTGTCCCCGCCCCATACCCATATATGCCCCGCCCCCGTTATTACTTATGTCTTATAATTGTAAAATATAACTACGTTGTAATTTACCAAAAGGACTTAGGGTTGTTGTAAAACAAAATAAGGACTAAAAGATTAATTTCACTTAGTTAAACCAATCCTAATTGCTTAACAGGCTAACACGTTTCTAACCCTACTTGGGAGGATAACTTGACTTTTTATGTGTGGATTTTTATTGTTTCATAGGTGTTTTGGAGATGAATAATTTGGTGTTGGATTACTTATTGGTACTTTGTTTATGGAACTTGGTAGGAATTGGATGATCTAATTAAGATTTTCAGTGGTTCTTTATTAGGTTCATCATTGATTAGGTTTGATGTTTCAACCCAATAGTTATATGTTTTGTTGAATTCAAGTGTGTTAATTTAGTTATAATCATAATAGGATGTACGGGGCATGGATTACCCTCGGGTATCCGAAACCCGCGGGGATGGAGATGAGGGTGCAAAATCTTCCCCGTATGGGGATGGGGAGGATATGAATATGATAATTGAAAATGGGTACGAGAATGAGTTTAGTACAATCCGCCTCAAACCCGACCTATTGCCATCCCTACCCTTAACTTCTTCCCTTAAAACAACGCAACATTGGGCAAGACATTAAAACTTAAAAGTAACAATATGATTCTCCAAACAAAGGAATGGAGTTTGCTGCCTTGCTGTGTGCCAGCTTAGCTGGCTGCCTCCCTGTAAAAGCAAAGCGTAGAAAGTCATTTCTCAGGATATTTTAAACACACTAAAAATAGGATATTCCCTTTCTTCCCCTCCCAAATTCCAGGCCCCCTCCGCCCCGGAAACTACAACTACAGCTTTTCGGCTTTTCCTTTTTCAAAGGGAAGAATCCATTCACGACGATTTTCCACTTCAACGAGAAAAACAAAGGAAAATCTCCGCAACAAAAAGAGTAGAATTCTCCGGCCATGGCTTCTCGTCGCCGGATGCTCCTCAAGGTCATTATTCTCGGCGATAGCGGGTACTCTTTCTCCTTCTTCTTTTCCCCCTCCCATTCTCCGATTCTCACCATTGGATTCCATCAATGACTTCCTTTTTCCTCCCATTCTTCTGATGAATGGTAATTGTTTCCCCGATGTGACAGGGTGGGGAAAACGTCGCTAATGAATCAGTACGCTGCCTTTCGTGTTCTCCAACTTTCCTGAATTTGTTTGATTGATTGCTTTCTCAAGATTCGCTTTTCCCTTTTCGAATGGGAGTTAACTTTTTGGTGCAATCCTACAATGTCTTTTTTTTAGGTATGTGAATCGGAAGTTTAGCAACCAGTACAAGGCCACGATTGGAGCTGATTTCCTTACCAAAGAAGTTCAGTTTGAAGACAGATTGTTCACATTGCAGGTTTGTGCAACCTCAACTGATCCCTCATATACCCTTCTTTTTCCTAGATTGCATTTCTAAATTGCTTGAAATTCATTATGGTTTGGGCTCTATAGATTGCCTGATCACATCCTAATAGTTTTGGATTTAAGCAAATTTGCTGCTCGCTGTTCGTGGCTTTACAAGTTCAATATGGTGACATCAAAATTATTCTTTTAGAATTGGAGTTGGGTGGTTGTAATTCTTGTATTGTAGATGAACGTGAGTCCAGTTAGGATCTATTGAAACCCTCCCCTAGTATCTCAATCAACGTTTCTATGGATCGTCGTTTGAATTCAAGTAATTTACTTGATCTGTTAGAAGAGTTGGGTGGTTGCAATTCTCTGTCTTTATCCTGAAGCATGCTTAAGAAAGACGGTATGGATGACTTGTTGAACTGTGTATTGTCTGCCTAGGGTAATGATAGATTCAACTCTGTTTCTGTGTATGGAAATGCTAACTGCAGCTAGATTATGAATGCTTGAACTACCATAGTTAGCATATAGCTTTCCGGGTTCGTGATCAATAGCCCAAAGTGGAAGCATCATGTTGTCAGGTAAAGAGTGGCTGCTGATAACTTTGTTAGGAACGTTCTATGAAGATTCAGGGATAGCCCTGGAAGGTCTTACTGATTTCAAACTGCTTTGACATTGCCTTGTATAATATGGCACTTTGAGTGGACATACCTAGTTTGTTGAGATAATAAAAAAATGTTAATAATAAATATTTTTGCAGATATGGGATACTGCTGGTCAAGAAAGATTTCAAAGCCTTGGTGTTGCTTTCTACCGGGGTGCAGATTGCTGTGTTCTGGTGTATGATGTCAATGTAATGAAATCATTTGACAATCTTAATAATTGGAGGGAAGAATTCCTGCTGCAGGTGCTTGCTACTCATCTCTTATTTATTAGGCCGGTCAGTCGCTTGATAAGTTGAATCTACATACTGATAATGATTTCGTGTGGAATGATTGGTGTAGGCAAGTCCACCAGATCCTGAAAACTTCCCATTTGTTGTGTTGGGAAACAAGGTCGATGTTGATGGTGGCAATAGTCGAGTGGTAAGTTGTGTGTTCCAACTCGTCTTTAGGATTGGCAAGTTTGCCATCGCTTGCTTGTTGCTAAATCACTTGTTGATTTCTTTCGGGTAGGTTTCTGAAAAGAAAGCAAAGGCTTGGTGTGCTGCTAAAGGGAACATACCCTACTTTGAGACTTCTGCCAAAGAAGGATTCAATGTGGATGCTGCTTTTGAGTGCATAGCCAAGAATGCACTTATAAATGAACCAGAAGAAGAGATGTAAGTGAACTAAATGAAGCATTTCTAGGAATACTCGATGCAAAATTTCCTTTTGAAGTGGCTTGAACTTCAATTATCAGCCCTGAAATTGGAGCAACCTAAACTGACGATTTGTTCTTTTGCTTGGGGATTGAAGGTACCTTCCTGACACCATCGATGTCGGAGGTGGAGGCCAGCAGCAGAGGTCCACAGGTTGTGAATGTTAAGAGCAGTTTCTAAACAAGGAGCGGCATACTGGTTCTTTCGATGGAGAGTACGTTTGATAGCAGAATTGTACGTACCTTAGGAGATCGATGGTTGCGATTTGATGTATATTTGCTTAAGTTACTTCCTTGGAGATATTATGCCTGACAGCGTTTTGTGTAGAGGTTTATATTGATTGGAACTGCAAAATATGCTACTTAAAGCTCTGCAAAAGCTCTATACTATATGTCTGCACACTTTGACAATCCGATTCGTGGAGCAAAGCACGATCATGAACACTTTTTTGATGATGCTCTTATTTGGGGTAATTGACCAAAAATCCGCAGTTGAGTTTTGGCTGACAATAAATAATCACGGATCTTTAAAGCTATGCAGCCATTTCGCCTACGCGGTTGTGGTATTGTGGAAAACTAGAAACTATTCCATCACTTCAGGTGGTAATGTCGGTGCGGTTTCTTGGGATATTTGCTTAATGGAATGAAAGCAAAAACTGGGATTTATGCTATGGGTAAGTATAATTATAAATTAATTGCGATTTGCGATGCTTGTTTTTAATGTTTTCTCATATGAAGAACTTCTTTGATGTTTTCTCATATGAAGAACTTCTTTGATGGGGCAAATTGACAAAAATAATTGATAATATTAAGTATTGTTGAGGATAAATACGGAATAATAGATAGAAATTGAAATAACTCCAGCTCCTCTTTGGTTTACAAATATGGTCCATTAAATCATATCATATCGGCGGTTCAACCACAAAATGCCAGCATTGGAGGCTAAATCGATAGGCAGTATTTAACGGTGTTAACAGTTGAACTACGGTTCAACCACAGTTTTGCCTTAAAATACCTTACGACTGACTGACTTTTCCGATATCGTCTCCGGTTTCATGGACCATGTTTACAAACCGCCGTCCTAAGCGAGCTTTTAGAGGTGTTTGACTCTATTTCAACTTTTTAAGCCGAAAAAGACTTCTAAAAGTCTGGCCAAACATAGACTTTTAAACGAATTCCAAAAGTATCGAGGGATTCCCACATTCATCATCCAAAAAGTAAAGTTTAGTGATTAGTTTGTTAATAACCTAAAGTTTAGTGATCGACCACAATGCCACAAAATCTTACCACCGCCTATCTCATTTGTCCCTATCCACTTTTGGACTGATACAAATTCCGACTCCTTTCGAACCCTAAATCATTAGAAAAACTAAGTTCCCTGTTCTGCTTGAAGCTTCAATCATGGAAGCGACGAAGGGCAAACAAGGGCTGCTCGATCAAATCCTACCTCCGCGACTGGAGGACGCCGGGCTAGAAGACTGCGCACTTCCTCCCGATTCGATCAAGGAAGCATTTCTGAAAGCCGCCTCCGCAGTCAAGTCACGCGCCACCTCCATCTTCACGGACGATACCGACGACGGTGGCGATTGCGTCCAGGACCCTTGGCCGGAGGCAAAGGATGTTTCCGATGCTATTGTCGGAGCGCCTCCCGCCGCCGGTGCTGCGGATGTGCTGGTCGGGATAGACGAGGGCTTGGATGAGCAGGGGAGCTGCGTGGCCGAGAAGGGCGGTGGTTTGGTGGAGGATGGTCGGGATGAAGTGGTGGTCGGCGGTGGCGAGATTGAGGAGAAGGAAAGAGGGAAAGGGTGTGTGGACGGTGGTGGGCTCAACAAGGAGAAAAAGGATCAGAACGGTGATGACGACGATGAAGGAGGAGAAGGTGAGAGACCAATTTTGACGGAAGGGGTTGTGTGAGTCTGTCTTCCTCCGGCTCTAAAGTTTTCCCCTTTACCTGTTGTCCCTCTGGTAAGTAATTTTGCAGTTTGTTGTATGTTGTTTGTGCTCTTAGTGCTAGAAGATAGATAGAGGTAGCTGCTACTACTCTGTTCCCAGAACTCTGTTTGGTGTTCTGCAACTTGAAGGTTTTGATTGAAAGATCCAGCTTTTGGTGATCGTTCACTGTGGACGTTTCTGTTTCAGTTTTTTTTGCTGCTTTTCGTTTTATTAGGATGATGGGTTCTCTGTGTAGTTGAGGTTTCATGGAACTTCAATGTTTGTGCGGCTGTAATGCCGATGGGAGTGGTGATGTTATGATCTATTTCTATCAGAGATGGATTCTCTTTGATGAGCTTGAGGCAATCTGTTTATCTGGTTTCAAGCTTTAAGGAGTGACTAGATGGTTTGGTTAAAGTGTTTCTCATTGGGAGACAAAATGGTGCCATGAAATCCAAACTGCTAGTCCTGTATCCAACTGCTGATTTGAGTTGAAGGTTGTATTGGTCAGCAGCACCGATGCTCCGTTCGCAGGAGAGCTTGTTCCTCTTTCGGAATTCGAGGCCTCCAATGATGCTATAGATAGAAATCTCGGAATCGCTCTGGTCGAACAGAACTTCCGATTTACTCTTTGTAGTGCGCAACGAAGTCGTAGTTCAGGTCGAGGAAAAGAGCGACGAGGTCAACGCACAAGCAATCTGAGGAACTCGTAAATGATCAAGTGACATCTAGTTTTCTGGAATATGAGTTTCTCGTTCGTTGTCCCACGCCGTGGAAATCACACCCTTAATGTTAAGAAGGAATCTAGACCAAGTGCTTTGCTCCCCAGCAATGCACGCATATCGCTCCCCGTAGACATTATGCAACTGTTGATCGCGAGTCACCTCAGCTATCCGAGTGCATTGCTTTTTTACGCATAGTTCAATAACTCATTGCCTTTCTCGCCAGCAATCAATGCCTATAACTAAAGTCTAAAGCGATCAAGCCCAAATGTGTCTAGATTGGAAAATCCTTGTAGAACTATGTATTTTGGGAAGATTTTTAACCACGGGAAAAAATCCTCTTGTTGATGACAATCACAGTAAGTAATAATAATAATCGCAGAGTTTGCTGGTGGGCTCTTATTAGTTATAAGACCCATAGCCTCTAAAAAATGTTATGTTACAAAAAAGGTTCTCCGACAGAGTTGTATAAACTTTCAACACTAGTGAATGAGTTTTGATTTCACAGAATGGCGTAGCACTAAATAAACAAACTCCCAGCAACAATAAATGCTTTTCGTCATCGACATCTATATAACCTTTATAGAAGGAAAGGATGTATATACTCGATAGTCCTCTCTGAAATGCTCTCAAGTACTCCGGACAACGCTGGTTCGACATCGTCGGATACACCGCCGCCGGGGAAACCTCCAGACCCAAATATTCAGTCCTCCTCCTCGCCTTTACCCACAGCCACAGATCAAGGTACACCTATCTCTTATAGGAACGTGCTAGCAGGTCAAACGTCACCGGCGATTCCGAAGGCCTGTCAATGGACTTTTGTGGGGGAACACGACATGAAAGTAGGGACTTTCAATGGGGAGCCGGCTCTCAATTTCTCTCCAAGATTCAAAGAAAAACTGTGTGATCCCTGGAAGAAAACTTTGGTGGTAAGGCTCTTGGGACGCTCGATCTCATATAATTATCTCTGCTCTCAACTTCGGTGGAAATGGAGGCCAACAGGGACCATGGATATCATGGACCTTAACAACGAAACCTTTTTGGTTACCTTTAGCAACGATCAAGACTATCTATCAGCGATCACTGGTGGGCCTTGGGTGATTCTAGATCACTATCTTTTAGTTCATCAGTGGACGCCACATTTCCGATCAACAGATAAGCCGCATCGATCGGTTGTGGCATGGGTTCAGTTCCCCGATTTACCGGTTCACTTTTACCACAGAGAGGTTTTATTTGCAATTGGAAATCTGGTTGGCAGAACAGTGAAGCTAGACTACCACACTGAAACTCTTCAAAGGGGAAAATTTGCCAGAATTGCTATAGAGCTCGACATGACAAAGCCGTTGCCGACGAGGATCTACCTGGACGGCGCTTGGCAGCAGGTTCTATACGAAAATCTTCCCCAAATTTGCTATGAATGTGGAAAAATTGGGCACACGGAGGACCTCTGCCCCAATCGCCAGGAAATGAATCAATTTGCTCTGGTCACGATCCCGAATAGCAATGAGCTGGCAGCTTCTCCGGTAACTTTGCCGATCGCTTCCTCGCCGGAACCACCCTCCGGGTATGGCCCTTGGATGCAGGTTACCCGCAAATCGCGCCGCTCCAAGCAGTCAACAGCAAAATCGGGAAATCAAATCAACTTTCCTTTAGGAGCAAACGGAGATTCAGGACGGATTGGTATTAAGAAAGGAAAGTCTGAGACCAATAGGGAAGGTGAGGGTGCTGTGTATAAAGGAAAGAAGGAAATAAGAGATGAGCAAAAGAAGATTCAGCAAACGGCTCCAAAAAAAGAAAAAGGGAAAGAAGTAGCTTATGAAGGGAAGGTTGTTAACGGGAAGAAGAAGAGCAACGGCTCTTTGGAATGGAGGGTGGTGGACCCGAAGGAAAAACAAGGAAACCTGGGCCAAAATCTGGTGGTCCAAGCCTCAAGCTCGGCCCAAATTTCTTCTGATGTCCAGAGCTTCAAGGCCTCAAATCCAGTAGAGGGACCTAACAACACCAAAATCCACATCATCTCAGTCTCACATCCGGTCCCTGGTCAGAAGGAGAATGTCGATCCAAATTCAAACACACCTTCAGCCCGCCAACGGTCACAGAAAAAGAAAGCAGAGGGGGATCAGAACCCAATTTCGAGCAAGGGCATCAATCTTAAGGCTACTAAGAAGCCTCTGCAACTAACCTCTTCGAACAAAAAAAGTGCTTCTCTCAAGTTGAAGGATAATGCCTTCCCTATTACCCTTAAAGCTATCGAGGAGTTCTTTGCACATTCTCAAATTAAAGAAAATGAATACAAGCAGATCCTGGCTGGGAAAGAGATTGATGTGGTCATGGGAGATTCACACTCTGCATCCCCGGCGGTTACTACAGCGGCTGCCACCTCTGATGCGGTTCCGACGAACTTGGACAGGGCGATCTCTCCTATTGCTTAGTTCCCTGCGTTTGCTTCTTTGCTTTTTCACCTGCTTTTTTCCCATTATGTCTAGTCCAATCAATTTACATATTCTTGCTTGGAATGTTTGTGGTGCAGGTAGTAGGGAGTTTCGGCGAGCCATCAAGCTTCTAGTTCAAACCCACAAACCTAACTTCCTGTTACTGTTCGAACCTCAGATTAGTGGAGATAGAGCTAATAGAGTTTGTGGTAATTTGGGTTTTGGGGAGGTTGCTCGTATCGAAGCAGAGGGTCGTAGTGGCGGAATCTGGCTGGCCTGGAAACCGGAGGAATATAATGTCCAAATTCTCGATGCCAGTTTTCAGCATATTACGGCGCGAATCACTGATGATAGGCAAGGAACTTGGATGCTCACGGGTGTTTATGGAAGCCCTCAATACTCTCTCCATCAACACTTGTGGGAAAGGCTCATTCAAACCAGCTCCAACTGTAATCTTCCGTGGATTGTCACCGGTGACTTCAATGCCTACAGTCTCCCATCTGAAAAGCTAGGATCCATATCTGCTGCTGCCATGAAACGTTGTCAACAATTTTCTAGCTGGATTGATTCAGCTAATCTCTTTGATTTGGGGTTTTCGGGTGCCAAATATACCTGGGCAAGGGGAAGCACGAAGTTGACTCGCAAAGCCAGTAGGATTGACAGATCCTTATGTAATGCCGAGTGGAATCTTTCCTTCCCCAACACCATTGTGCAGCATCTGCCCAAGCTTCACTCGGACCACCTTCCCATCCTTACCTCTTGTGGTGTTCCTGATCATGGGTCCAACAGAGTGAAGCCTTTCAGATTTGAAGCCGCTTGGATGATGCACCAGCAGTTTGAAAACTTCTTTACAGGGGAATGGAAGGAAGATGTTAACCTTCAGCAAGCGCTTGATGATATTGCCCCCAAGCTGCAGAACTGGAATAAAAATGTGTTTGGCATCATCAATCATAAAAAAAGGCGAATACTGGCCAGGCTGAAAGGCATTCAAGTCCAACTTGCAAATAATTTCAATTCTGGCCTCCTCAAATTACAAACCAAGTTGGAGGCTGATCTAGATGTCCTTCTGACCCAGGAAGAGGTGGTCTGGTATCAAAGAGCTAAAGAGAACTGGGTTACCCTTGGAGAGCAGAACACCTCCTATTTTCATCAACAAGCAACAAGGCGGCGCAGGCGCAACAGAATAACCATGCTCAAAGACAGCGTAGGCACCTGGATTAATGACCCAGTTAAGCTCGAAGACATGGTTGTCTCCTTCTACAGAAATGTTTACAGCCAAGATGTCTCTGCCTACGTGGACAAGATGCCTACAAACTGCTTTCCCAGGATCAATCAGGGAGATCTTCTTCAACTTCTCCGCCCTTTTACTATCTTGGATATTCATCAGTCAATTTTTGGAATGAAACCTTTCTCTGCTCCAGGACCTGATGGTTTTCAAGCAGTTTTCTATCAAAAGCTTTGGAAGTTTGTGGGGAAAAGTTTAACTGACCTAGCTTCTGCTTTCTTTGAAACAGGTCAACTTCCAAGTGGAATCTTTGATTCTCATATTGTGATGATCCCCAAAGTTGAACATCCAGAATCCCCTGCTCAACTGCGGCCCATTTGCTTAAATAATGTTAGCCTAAAAGCAATCACTAAAGCTATGGCTAATAGATTGAAGCCCTTGATGAGAAAACTAATTGCTCCAACGCAGAGTGGCTTCATCCCTAAGAGGCAGACTACTGACAACATTATTATTCTTCAAGAAGTCCTGCATTCTCTTAGATCCAAGAAAGGTAAAAAAGGGGGAGTTGTGATCAAAGTGGACCTTGAAAAAGCTTATGACAGGTTGAGGTGGGATTTCATTCGTGATACTCTGATTGAGGTAGGTCTCCCCAGTACCTGGATAAGCAGAATCATGATGTGTGTGGAAGAAAACAAAATGCGGATCAACTGGAATGGCAAGCTAACTGATGCGATTATCCCGTCAAGGGGGGTGAGACAGGGAGATCCTTTGTCCCCGTACCTCTTTGTTTTGTGCATGGAGAGACTTGCTCACAGGATTGAGATTGCTGTCAGTGATAATCAGTGGAAACCGCTTTCTCTTACCCCTAATGGTCTTAAATTATCACATCTGTTTTTCGCAGATGATCTAATCCTTTTTGCAGAGGCAAGTGGCAAACAGATTGATATAATCCGACAGTGTCTTGATGATTTTTGTGCTAGCTCAGGGCAGAAGGTCAACTTAAGCAAGTCGGCCCTTTACATCTCCCCTAATGTTGCTCGGTCCAAAGCGGAACGTCTGAGTGCGCGAGCCAACATCCCTCTTACCACTGATCTTGGCAGGTACCTGGGTCTCAATGCTATTCATGGGAGAATCACCAAAACCAGATACAAAGAACTCTGCCTCAGGATCCAAAGGAAATTAGCCTCGTGGAAGACTAAGCATCTCTCACTTGCCTCCCGCATGACTCTGGTGAGAAGTATCAGTTCCTCTATGGCTGTTTACCCGATGTTTTCTGAACATTTGCCAGCTTCTGTGTGTAGCCTGTTAGACAAAATTAACAGGAAATTTATATGGGGCGAGGAGGACAATCAAGTCAAGTTTCATCCAATAGGCTGGGACACCATGACAGCTCCCAAATCTAAGGGTGGAGCTGGCATCAGACCTACCAAGCAAGCCAACTTGGCGATGCTGGCCAAAGGTGGGTGGAAGCTTGTAACTGGAGAAGATACTTTGTGGACCAAGCTGCTGCTGGAAAAATACGGCGGATCTAGGGAAGGGCTTGACATCATCACTAAGAAAAAGGGAAGTTCCCTTGCTTGGAGAAGTTTTGCTGCTTCTCAAAATATTCTTAAAAAAGGCTATGCTATCAATGTTAAGGATGGTAAACAAACCTTTTTCTGGTTGGATTCTTGGTTATTGCAGGCACCCTTGATTAGCTATGCTGTGGCGGAGGTGGCAGATGATTTAAAGCAGCGACGCGTGGCGGAAATGTGGGAGCCGGATCGTGGGTGGAGGATGGACGAATTTCAGCATCTTCTACCACCGCAAATTGTTGACAAAATCAGAGCGGTTTTAATTGACCCTCTTGCTGCGGATGGAGATCAAATATTATGGAACCTCACTTCTAATGGCCACTTCTCAGTCAGCTCTGCATTCAAAGCAATTCAATCGGATCATGGTCACCAGGAAGACAAGCTTTGGAAGCGAATTTGGAAGCTTCAGGTTCCAGAACGAGTTCGTGTCTTCATGTGGATGGCAGCGCTAGGCAAACTAACAACAAATCAGATCAGGGCGGACAGACATTTGACAGGAGACAGCTCGTGCCCCGACTGCAGTGGTATCCCTGAAACTAATATCCATTGCCTCAGGGACTGCAGAAAGGCGAGAGCGGTTTGGAATAAGATCCTGGCTACTGAGACTGAGAGGAAAGCAGCTTTCTTCAACTCAAATTACAAAGATTGGATTAAATCCAATGTCGAGGATGATTCCTCAGGAAGCTGGGTTGGCCCTTGGGGAAGCTTCTTCAGCTTGGTCACGTGGTACTTATGGAAGTGCAGAAATGATGGGATCTTCAAGGGCATCAAGATGGCAGTTTCCTCTCTTCACCACTACATTACAGCTAAAGCGAATGACTGGGCTAGGACTTGGGACTCGGCCAGGAAAGCGATGGCTAAGGTAGATGGAGGTCACAGAGCCGAGACTTTGATTGGGTGGAAAAAACCACCAGCAGGATGGCATAAAATGAATACTGACGGTGCAGCGCGAAGCAATCCGGGATTGGCCACGGCAGGAGGGGTTCTTCGCGATCATAATGGGGACTGGCTCGGTGGTTTTTGCAGCAAGCTCGGTATAGGGACTCCGCTGCTGGCAGAGCTTTGGGGAGTTTTGCAGGGACTTGAAATGGCTTGGAAAAAAGGCTCACGATTTCTCATCATTGAAACAGACTCTCGCCTTGCAATCCAGCTAATTGAACAAAGAAGAGATAATGTGCATCCTTATGCAACGATTCTGGGCGCTATCCGTAGACTCTTGGCGAAGGAATGGGTGGTTCGTCTTGTTCATACATATCGTGAAGGGAATAGAGTCGCGGACTGGCTCTCGAAGCACAGTCTCGTCTATCCCTTCGGTATGTATGAGCTTGAAGCTCCCCCAGCAGATTTGGACAAGATTTACCAAGAGGATGTGATAGGAATCAGCTTTCCTAGGCTGGTGAGGCTCAATTCAGAGGATTGACTCTCTGTTTCTCGGGGGTTTTTTTTTTTTTCCTTCTGGCTTTTCTCTTCTGAGTTGTTGCTGTTTTGACAGCTTTTCTGGAGTTTGCTAGCTCCTGGCGCTTGCCGCCTCCTTCTAATCAAAAAAAAAAATATATAACCTTTATAGAAACGGCACCAGATGCAGCCTTGTATAAACGGCAGAGGAGACACTTTTTAAGCTTATTTACTGTGTTACGTACCTTGTTAGGTACTCCATCTTTACTAGTGTCGTTCAGGACGCGGCATGTCTCTGATCTTCTTGTCTTTGTTTCTAGCAATCAGCCAACCCTTTGATTGTAGAGTGAAACCTGAAGACAATAATAATAATAATAATAAAATAAAAGATAAAACCAAGTACAAAAAAGTAGTCTTTTTTTCTTGCCTTTTCAATTTCTGGTTTGCATGGCTGCCATTTTTTTCCACTTGGCAGAAGAAACAGACAGAACGAGAGAGACATAGAGCTCCAACTTAAAAGAAGGCTACATAAGTTGTTTGGAGTAGTCAAAAGAGGAAGAGGGCAATTGAGGATACAGAATAATCATGGCTTTGTTTCACAAACCAACCGTGCAAGTAGCAGCTCTTGGTGGCTTCATTCTTGCTGCAGCTTCAGTCCTTGTTTTGGCAGATTCCAGTTGCAGTAATGGAACTGATAAAGTTGAGGACTTTCACCATCTGAGAAGGTCACTGGGCTTCATTTCTGGGAAGGGCAGAGTTGGGTATCAGCATGTCTGGCCGGTAAAAAGAAAATCCTGCCATCCCCATTTTCCATTATCAGCTCTCTATGTGTTTGTTGAATGTCCCCACCCAGATTTGTGAACCATGCATGGCGAGCAAAACCCAATTCCAAGAACTTTTCTGGGGTTCATGCAGGGTATGGAATTTGGATGGAGGATTGTGGTAGGCACTGTAATTGGATTCATTGGAGCAGCTTGTGGGAGTGTAGGAGGTGTTGGTGGAGGCGGCATCTTTGTTCCCATGCTCACTCTTATCATTGGCTTTGATCCCAAGTCATCAACAGCGATCTCCAAATGTAAGTTCTGATTTTGAATCTCACTCTTTTTCTTAGCTGCAGAAACCCAATAAGCTTTTCGGCATGCAAATTGAAGACTGCTTTCTCTTTTGTTTGTGTTTTTGCCTTTCTCAGGTATGATCACAGGAGCAGCAGCTGCAACAGTTTACTACAATTTGAAGATGAGGCATCCCACTCTTGAACTACCCGTCATCGACTATGACCTTGCACTCATGTTTCAGCCTATGTTGATGCTTGGAATCAGCATTGGGGTGGCTCTGAATGTTCTTTTTGCTGACTGGATGATCACCATTCTACTGATTTTCTTCTTCCTTGGTACTCTTTCCCTCTCTTCAGTTATGCCTTCTTTGGCAGCTAACCTTTTTTCTTTTTTGGTAGAAAACCTGTTTCTAATCATACTGGTGAACTTTGCAGTTACATCAACCAAGTCGTTCTTAAAAGGTGTGGAGACGTGGAAGAAGGAAACCAAATCAAAGAAGGTTATACCTGAAACGAAGATCTTCTGCTATGTGTATATCATCTTTGATTTCTTTGTAATTTGCTACAGACTTAAAATGCTCAGTATTGGTCTCCATTTTGCAGGAGGCTGCCAGAAGCTTGGAAGTCAATGGTGATCTCAATTTGTGAAACTTTGATTGCCCATCACTTTTAAGAGTTTGCTTTTTTTTCTCGGCTTTGTTGCTGACAAGCCAACTCTGTTTTCCTTAAACAGAAGAAGCTCTCACTGAGGCAGCTCAACCAGGAACCAAAGAGCCAAAGAAAGAGGTCGTAAGAAACTTGTTTACTTGGGTTTTAAGTTTCATCAACTTGTGTGTTTTTCAGAACTAAAGTTCACTGCAATTTCAGCAGGTCACGATTCTCGAGAATGTTTATTGGAAAAAACTCGGACTTCTTGTTGCTGTGTGGTTGATTATACTAGTCCTGCAAATTGGCAAGGTGAGGAGAGTTCCAACTTCCATCCCCCTCCATTTTCAGTTCGTGATGACCTAGACTGAAGGAAGTCTCGTCTCCATGATGCAGAATTATACATCAAACTGCTCTTTGGCATACTGGCTACTAAACTTCTGTCAGGTAAATCCTAATAGAATCCTCATGATTCATGAAGAAGACTCGAAGGCTAATTGATGAATGTATCGTACCTGTCTTTTGGTTCCATTTCCAGATTCCTGTGGCTGTTGCTGTGAGTTCATATGAAGCCATTGGCCTATACAAAGGGCGGAGAAAGATTGCTTCCAGGGGAGAAGTAAGTTCAAACTTGAGAGTGCATCAACTGCTTCTCTACTGTTTCCTCGGCCTACTGGCCGGTATAGTTGGTGGAATGCTGGGGCTTGGTGGTGGGTTCATCTTAGGCCCTCTATTTCTGGAGTTGGGAGTTCCTCCACAGGTGAGATAAACATAAAAGAAATCATGTCTAGACTAAGGTGTTTCTTCTTCTAACTTCAATATTGTTTGAGTAGGTTGCAAGTGCCACTTCCACCTTTGCCATGACATTCTCAGCGTCAATGTCCGTTGTGGAGTACTACCTTCTGAAGCGCTTCCCGGTTCCTTATGGTAACCTAGCTTCCTCGTACTTATCCGAATTCATGTGTTTGGTGTTCTTGACTTTGGTTAACCATTTTATTGGCTTTGGTTTCATGCTGAATTTCAATTGGCCAGCTCTGTATTTCTTTGGTGTGGCCACCATATCTGCCTTGGCAGGGCAACATGTGATTAGAAAGCTGATCGCTTTACTAGGGAGAGCATCTCTTATCATCTTCACTCTCTCCTTCACCATCTTTGTTAGCGCAATCTTGCTAGGTAATCTGCAGTCATGCCTTCACTTTCAAGTTTGTGAGCTCTGCAGATGATTACAGATGCATCTAGAGCTAGATTCTCTCTGGATCTATTAAAACATCTGAAGCCATCTTTGTGCTTGTTTTGGATTGGTATGCAGGTGGGATTGGGATAGTACACATGATCAAGAAGATTGAGGGGAAAGAGTACATGGGATTTGAAGACATTTGTTCATAAAGCTATTAGCAGACTAATGTAAGGGTGCTAATTTTAAAACCACCCTCTAGTGCCTCTCGTGTACAGAAAGAAGAAAGAATAGTTCCGTTTAGGTCATAAAGTAGACCCTCACCTGCATTTGAGGCTCTGCAGTATCATTAAAACCAGTGAACTTCCTTCGTATCATTACAATGGTAGTATACAGATTGCTCAACCAGCCAGCGTTGCTTCTGCTGCAGTGCTCTGACAACCTTTGGCAGGCTCAGTCCTTGGTGGCACGGGTTAGCTGAACAAACACAACCTAGTTATGTTTGGTTGCTTCAGAATCACTTTATGGCATGAACCAAGTGCCCTCGTATCTCCGGTGCTTTGTTTTCACATCATTGTCTACTCCTTTACCACCATGGTAGTACAAACAGATGGTGACACTGGAGTCTTCTCCCCTGCTCTTCCTGCTTACTCAGATGCTGATTGGGGAAAGGACCCGGTCAAAACTGGTTTCTTAGTCTAGTAGTAAGCAGCAAGCTGTGATTATTTCCTGGTCTCTTTTGTATCCCAATCATAGTTTCTTAAGGTGAGAATGACACTGCCACTTGTTCCCAGACACTAGAAGCTAGAACTCAGGCAGCGCAGCGCAGGAACACGCATCCGCCTTTCATGTTGCTCTCCGCCATTTTGCTTTCATTGCAGAAGGCCATCTTTTGTAGATGATAAGCTCGAATCTCACGAATACTTTAGAAATGGAATAACTCTCGCCCTGCCTTGCATTCGCCATCACTTCCTTAAGCTCCAACGGAGTGGTGACAATATGGGTCTGTGATTCAACCAGGTGACTTAATATCCTCGACGCGTTGGGGAGAGGTATCCTTGTAGGACAACAGAGTCTGATAATGGAATTCTCCTCCTCTTCCAATTCTCTTCGAGCATACGTGCTATCGTCGTACCTAGCCAATCCTTGGTGAACTAGGAAATGAGTACCCGACATGAGATCCCTCTTGAAAAGATTTTTTGCAAAGGCCTCTCACATCCTCATGTGATCTATTTCTGTTGAAGCAATGGTGCAAAAGATAGCCATCGATATGAACATTATGACGAGATAGCAAGTTGTCGATGCAGTATTGCCCTTCATTCAACCAATGGCGACAACTTGGCTAGCTGAATATCGTTGGAGTAATGCTTGTTCGGAACTTGGTACAACTTGTTGTTGCAAAAAGATGCGGCACAAGTCATTGTAATAATACAATTGCAAAACGAAGTTGGTACCAATGACGACTTAATTTGTAATATCGAAGCCGTCGTGCACCTATTATAATGGAGCCGTGATAAAATCATCTCGAAATCAAATGAGATTGACGACCATTGAAGGCGGCTAAGCCGGTCACAACCGGCTGGGGCAGTCCAATATTTCATATAGTGGGTACTGAATCATATAACAAACGGCACAATGGCATACTAGCCAAGTGCTACTGAACTTATCCCAGCAAATCCCAGTTGATCCGCTTTGAATTGTGGAGGAGACCATTGATACACATTGCGCTACTCTGCTCTATAGTCTATAAATCTGTGTATACATTAACCTGACAACAGAAATTATACACTCTGTCCACTGGACGACTCAACAGTCGTAATTTCGAAATGCTTATGCATTTTCGCAAGCAGATTAAAAGATAATTGCAGGATCGACTCTGTAGTCTGCATTGCATCAAGACATTCTCAGTATGGTTAAATTCTCAAGAGTCGCTGACTGCTGTTTCTAGTTCTAAGTTCCTTGGCTATAGTTCATCTTTTGAGGAATTGGACTTCAAATGCTTATTGATGGCCGCAGCCAAGTCCTTTCCACTGGATTTTGTTGACAGCTTGATCTGCGTATCGAAACAGATTTGTATGGCGGTGTTAGTAAAACTGAACCTGAGAGGAAATATCCATGCGAAAATGAATGTCTTCAATGCCTTTACCGGATTAGCTTTATTATCTTCAGGGTAAAGCAAGAGCGTTGGGTAGTCGGCTACCTGCAGAAATGAACAGAATACAAGTCATTTTGAACTCTTGGTTTAACTTTGCATGATCATATTAAGCCAAAAGTTTGAAGCTTTATCCGCTAAAAACATCAATGGCAAAACCCAGAAGGGAATTATTCGTTTCAGCCCATCAATTTTACAGCTGAAAAGGGCATGCCTGCAATTTGGGATGTTCATTTGCAGAAGCATCAATCCTTGCAACGACTAAGCTATCAGACCCTTTGAAATGCTTTGCAAGCTTCTCAACCTGCTTGCTTGTAGTCTCACAATTGATGCACCAAGGCGTATATATCTGCTTTAACAATCACCAAGTTTACAAGGATTATCAAATAGCACTTTTGGCAACCAGATTGTCTTTAGAAGACTCAGGAAGTAAATTTGTTCACCTCAATAAGTATGTTCTTCGGACTATTTAGAACCAATTCGTCAAAAGTTTTTCCGACAACAACCAGGACGCTCGCATTTTTCTGCAATAAACAAGACGAGAAGAATTACCAATAAATCCAAATTTAGATTGAATGATGCATCTAAGTTCGTCATTTGTTACAGAGAGAAACATAGGAGTTTAACCATTCTGAAACTCACGTTATCAGGTACCGGTTGTGATTTGTAGTAAGCTGGGAAACTTGCACTCAGAAGCCCTAAGCAGAAATCCTACATGGAAAGTGCATGTTGGTCAATTAACAGTTCTAATCATTATTTCATGAAGGACAAGAAAATCCTACACTCTGAAAGAGAAAAATTAGAATAGGGGTAACCAAGTAGTACTTCTATGTTCCCAGATGTTGGCTCAGCTTCTAACAAAAATTTGGTGCTGATTTTGTTATCAAAAGCAGTCACCTGTCATGCATTCAAGGATCAACTTCATTAGCTTCAATCTCTGTTATATTATATAAAGACAGCAAAATATTCAATTCAGGTGAAGGCCAAGAGTGTAACCAATGCGTGATCTGAATCTTCAAGCCCAAACAGAGTTAAGAAAGGCTTGGCTAGGTTCTCATCCTCGATGTCCACATATATGAACATTATCTGCACAAATAAGACAACCTAAGAAACTATACCATGAAATAAAAATACATGTGCCTAACAAATGATTTAGACTAACCTTTGATTTGAATTTCCTGGCAACCTGTTGCAGAGGCTCAATAAGTCTTTTGAAATCATCGGCCCCTCCAAAAACCATAACCTGGGCCACAATGACGGTAGTTTAATACCAAATTTAACTTGTTTTGGGTAAATAGTCATTGCTCCATAATGACTTCGAATTGAAGAGAAAGTTCAAGACAATTGAAACAGGATACCCTTATGCAATGTTGTAGGCCAGTTTCTGAGTGGTTTTACATATGAGCCACAGTTAAATTTGTGAATGTCAAGCAAATGCAACATGACATAGTTCAGACCAGAACAAGATGCCAGAAATAGCACGATAAGAAGGTAATCACTGCAGAAATTCACCAACCAATAAGCTGATTCACACCTCTAGACATTTATTCACTCCTTTGAATGAACACAGAAAACCATAAAGATGAACTCTCACATAGAATGGGAGACAGCGAGAGATATACAAGGACAAGAGCAAAACCGCACTGTAAAAGGTAGAAGCTACCTGAAGTTTGATTGGACTCGAGTATACAGAGACAGAATTCAAATCTGTCAGCCTGGTAACCAAAGGAAACTTATTGTAAGCCAAAAACTCCAGTATCTTGTCCATCTCAAAGGCATCTTCTGCAATACACAAATTCAGCATTCTAGCAAACTCAGGAAAAAGTGTAAACAGAAGTATTTCTTTCATCAAAGTGAAAGCAAACTTTTGAACTAACCAAAGATAGTATATCTTTCAGGTTCACTTTTCACAAGTCCAACGAATTTGCTGGTGGACTTGATATCTGGGTACAGAACTTTAGCAACTCCATGGTCACCCACTTCACCAAACTGGATTCCATTGTCAGAGATAGCAGCCTTGACAAATTCTTCATAATCAGAACCCTGAGAAAATGTCCACATTCCACACATGTCAACAACCATCTAATTACCTAATAGCGTCATAGCAGCTAGAAAGGTTTAATGGGCTTAGGAGATACAACCAATCATGACAAGCTCCTCCAAATTTCCATCTAAGCGTCAAAAGCAACATAAAAATGGTTCGCGCAATCCATCATATGTACCTCAAACTTGTCAAAAAGACCGATAACATAGATATGATGCGTCTCAAGAAACTTCTCAGCTTCAGCGACTGAATTTACTCTAATCACTGGATCACCCGTCTTTTTTCTAGCCCAGATCACTATATCCTCCCTGTTGTCCATAAAAAGAATCAAACCTTTCAGCAAATACTAAACTATCACTGGCCTCATAATGCTCCAGAAAGAAAGACATACCCAGTAAAGCCACCAGTGTAAGGCTGAGAGGTGCCATTGACAAAGAGAAGCAAAGTAGGGAACCCTCTGATCTGAAGTGCGGAAGCTGCCTTGGGGTACCTTTCAGCATCAAGCTTAGCCATCACAATGGGACTTCCCAACTCCTTCAGCTTATTCGCAGCTTCAGCAAATTGAGGCATGAGCTCTGCACTCCTGGTGTCCCAAGGCGCATACCCAAGAATCAAAACGAACTCATTCTCACTAATCGCCCTGCTAGAGCTGTCGGTATTCAGCTCAAGTACTATCCTTTGGGCTTTGGTCAATACCTCGGCCTCCTTCTGCTGCTCCACGTGCTGATGCTGATCCGCTGAACCATCTTCTTCTTCTTCTTCATCAATGGCAAGCAATTCGTCTATTTCGCCGTCGTCGTCTTCGAGTTCGGTGGAAGCGACAAATGCGGAGAGATTGATCAACAGGAGAAGAGTGAGAGTGAAAAGGAGGAATCTTGAACTGGTTTTTCTTCTGGGAATCATGATTTGTTTGAAGAAGGATTTTGGGAAATCTGAAATTGGTTTTGTGAAGTCGGGGGTTTGGGTTTTGTCGATTGACGCAGCCAGGGAAAAGGAAAAGAGTCGGCGCTTCCGTCGAATCTGGAGATCTTCCGCGATTAGTGGCGGTGTAGGGAAAGCAGAATGTGCAGAAAATTAGTGTGTTCTCTCAGTTACTAGGGTGGCAAACCGGTTTGGGCCGCTACCCCGGTTTCACAATTGAAATGGTATGATTAGTGGTATGCGGCTATGTGCCAATTCATACCAGTTTAACAAAATAAGTATAAAGAGGAAAATTATTAACATTCAATATATTTAATAATATATAACCATATTTATTGATAATTTACATACAATCCAGCAATTAAAATCAACTTTTATCTTTTAAATTCACAAAATTAATTTTTTGTATTAGTTAAATTGCCTAAAACGGCGTCATTTTGATTAACATACGAGATCATGTCGATCATACTGGTGGTGTCATGCTAGTTTCATGACCGGCACAGGTTGAAACAAGTTCAACAAGTCGGCATGCCAACGACATGACAACCACTGGCAATTGAATTCGGCTAGGATGGGTACTCAAGCCGGTCCAAATGGGTAAAACTCATTGTTAACAAGTTTTGTATCCGATGCAGGTTTTCCTTCATTGAAAGTTATCGAGTTGGGGTTTGAGTTTTGCCAAAATCCAATTCGCTTTCTACCTTACTCACACTCAAACATCAAAACGATGTCATTTTGTATAAAAACATGAAAAATACGAATAATTTATGGATGTTATTAGTCTTTATGATAATATAAACTTAATAATATTGATAATTTATGAATATCATTAGTCTTTATAGAGATAATTGTTGAGAACTTTTTGATAATATTATGATATGTGTTCGGATATATAATGTATAGTTATGTTATGAACCCATGAGTACCAATGCACCAACGGGTAGGGGTGGGCAATGGGCGAGTTGGGTGTACTTTGGTGTCAAATTAACTCACTCGCTTACTATTGAGTTGGTATAATAGTGACCTGCTACCCACTCACATTCTTCTTCGGGTTGGGTTGGTGGCAGATGGGTGGAGTTGGATTGTGTGTCAACCTGCAAAAATCATTCCCTAACTAGCCATTAAAAAAGTTGACTAACATTTATAATAACCAATTCTAACTTTGTCTCCCGTGGATCCGTGTAGTATTTGCATCAACAATTTTATTACTACATCAACCAATTGTGTAGAAAAAGCTGATGCATTTTGCCATTAATAATTTATAAGTTATAATTTGCATCTAACTATCTAATGATCATTACACAACATAGAACCAATAAGGAGTAAAAAATATCATTTATTCTCCATCTTTAGAACTCGATCCGTGTGTAGTGCGATTAAGAAATATGATGGCTATTGGGTGGATAAACAAGAAACAATTTTTTGTCATGTGAAAATATGATGTAGATCATTCGGATGACCCACAATCTACCCATCACCAACTCGAATAAATGTGTGTAGGAGATTTATCAATACACAATCCACCCGCATCAATTACTCACCAATTGCGGTTTAGGTTATTTGTGGGTGGATCGATCTCAAACCAAAAAATTAACCACTCACGCGCCCACCCCTACCCATGATACCCGTTGGGTTGGGTTGAGTTTGCTCTTCTTGAACATGGTGGGTATTTATCGAGTTTTTTTAATGGGTGCACCAACAAGGTTAGGTTTTGGTTTAGAGAAACAAAGTTAGTTTTTTAATGGATGCACTAAATCTCAAAATATCCTACTCATGTTATTTCGAAATAACTCATTTTATCACTATCCTTTTGGCAAATATCACATGCCCAATACAACATTTGCATGGTTCTACCAATTAAGATATGTTAATCCAATTACCACTGAAATACCATATAAACAAGTAATTCATCAAACGATATTGTAAGTTAAAATGAGGTAGATGGGACATCATAACACTACCATACTATGATGAGATGATAGTGATAATACTACAATATGAACATGAATAGTTAACCTTTTCTTTACCAAAGATAGCTTGCATAACCAAGAGAAAATAGATCAAATGTTTACATATGCATACGGAGGCAAGCGCAAAAATCAAAACCTAGCACAAAACTAGCTGACAATACGAGGGTCTTCCTTGCCACCAAGTGAGCAACCCTGTTGTTTTGTCTACCAACGAACTGAACTTGAAAACCCGGGTACATGTGCCTGAACGCCTTTATCTCCCGGAGAAGCGCACCACCCTTCACATCTTTTTCCTCCTGCGCATTCACCTTGTCAATGACGACTTTGGCATCATCTAGGACCAGAATCGAATCCCACCCCTTCATAACTAGGGCTGGATGTTCGGTTATTTCGGTTATAACCAATAACCGAAAGGTCGGTTACCGGTTAACCGCGAAGCTAGACACCCCTACTGCCAACCGCCCGATAGATCCCATCGGTTATTCGACAACCAACCGGTCGGTTACCTGTTAGTTGCTCGGTTAACCGAGATAACCGCAAGAACACAGTCGGCTCGGTTATAACCGAGTAACCAAACCGGACAGCCCCCTACACAAACAAGATCGCTAAAATTGCATAAAATTAAACGTTCAACCCTACATTTCTACATCTAAATCACTCCACAAGTCAAGTTTCAATCATTTTTGCATATAAAATAGATTTAAATCACCAAATTAATGTCTCAAATACTAGAACATAAAGTCATAAACTTCATAAAGTCACAAATTACAATAGATCCAATCCAAATAGCATCAACAAGTCACCACCAAATCATCACTTATCAATAGAAGAAGAACCAACATCTACATAACCCTTTTCTTTCAATTACGGCAAGAGGTCATGACCAACATCGTCATATCCATCTTTCTCATACTCTTCCTCCGGCACATTTCCTTCACCCTCCTGCTCATTCCCATCTGGAATGTTCAGACTTGTATCTGCATTGGCAACATTGCCAATATCACTTGCACTTTCCATTCTAGACTGGAAAGTGGTATTAACTGAGTAAGAAAAAAGAAAACAAAGTGTTCAATGTATTAGGTGGAAAGAAATAGTATTCGTTTACTTGAACAAACAATAATTAAAAGAGTTTTAGAACTTACCGCTTTCCAAATCCATGATCTCTTCATCATCTTCCCTATCGTCATTCTCTCCAGGCCAGGTAGTTTGATACTTTATCCAATCCTTCGTACAAATCAATGCCTCCAACATGATATCACTTAAAGAGGACCTGAATGGACTGAGAATCCGACCGCCACAGCTGAAGGTTTCCTTTGAGGCAACAGAAGAGATGAGAACAACTAGGATATCCTTAGCCATCTCAGCAAGAATTGGATATGTTCTTGAGTGTCGAAAGAAACAACTCAAGATGTTAAACTTGGCATCATCACTCTCCTCATTGATGCCATCAGTTTGACATCTTAAATAGATGTCAAGCTCAGCAGAGCTACCTCCTGTATCCTGCAGAAGTGCTTCCATTTTCCTCTTCCTAAGCCTCTCCTCGAGCTGCTTAATCCTACCACCACCAGCCGTGCTCTCACCAGTGGTAGGCTCAGATGCAGAGGAGGGTGTTTTGATCCATACTTCCCTTTGTAAACCTCAAACAGCTATCGCATTTCCGACCTAATGCAGTTAACCATTTCTCCTCCCTTCACATTCCGATACATCATTGCCAAAACCTCGAACACCAAATCAAGTTTACTTCTCGGATCAAGCACACATGCTATATAAATTAAGTGGTTCATCTTCATGTTTTTCTCGTTCACAACACATGACTCAAACCAATACTTTTGTACCTTTTCCTCAACCTTCTCAGCCATCTTTTGGATCTCTACATGCGGATCATTCTTCAATTGCTCAAAGATGTCATATACCGTAACAAGCTTTTTGAAGAAGATATGGATAGTCACATATTTAGTTCCTGTACAATGAGAAGATTACACAGAAGATTAGAATAAAACAAATAGAAATGGGCAAATGGTATAAATTTTTTAAATAAAACAATGCAATTCAAAAATTTCACTTACCAGAGACTAGAATGGTCAAGTCATTGAAGACTTTCAGATAGTCTTTCAACTTCCTAATCATCTGCCAATCTTGATTAGTTGGGAGCCCACCTCTTGAGTCAAGATAATCTCTAAGAGAATGATCATGTGGACTTGAATACAAAGTTGTAAACACTGCATCAAAACTTTTTGCTGACTCTAACATGGTATAGGTGGAGTTCCACCTAGTCGGTACATCCAAAGACACCAGTTTGGTTGACTCCACATGCAGAAATTTCATGCCATTCTTGAACCGTAACAACCTAGCTGGTGAAGACCTCACCCACTTCACACAATCCTGAACTCTGTCCACAGCACCACCAACCACTTTCAGTCCATCTTGTACCACCAGATTAATGATGTGTGCAACAAATCGAAACTACAGAAACTTCTCATCCATCAAATCACACCCCACTCCTTTAGCTTCATTCTCATCCACTCACTGAGAATATCATTTGAAGTTACATTGTCCATGGTCATGCAGAACAGATTCTTCACCTTCCACTCTTCAAGAACTCCTGCAAGCTTCTCTGCAATATCAACTCCAGTATGACTTGTGATGGGAACAAAGGCTATCACCTTCTTCTGCAACTTCCAATCGCCTCCAATAAAGTGAGCAGTAACACACATGTAATTCTTGTTGTTATCAGAAGTCCATGTATATGTAGTGATTGAAACTCTTCCTTGGCTCATTGATTCAAAAAAATCAATTAAATCCATCTTTTTATCCAAGAAGATATGAAAGCAATCATCTCTTATAGCTTTCCTCCTGGGTATCCTAAACAGTGGCTGACAGAGACATGAATTGCTTAAATCCTTCCCTCTCCACAAAGCGAAATGACAATTCATCCATAATTATCATAATGGCTAATGCATATCTAGCTTTTCCCTGATGAAACTTCCATAAACCACTTACTTGACCACCTTCTGATGTCTGCAATACTGTCTGATTTTTTGTTGATGCCAACTTAGCCAAACATGAGTGTCTGTGGTTATTCATTGCAGTGGTCCCATTTTTGTGAGGATGAGCTTTGATTAGAGTATGACAGTGTATGCACTCTCCCATCGGGTAGCTGTCAACTATCACCTTCTTAAACACCTTCCAACAAGGAGCTTTA